TGGGCTTTTCTCCTCATTTCTTCTACGATATGATATTTGCCAGCGTCAAGTCAGTTCCTTTTCTCTCACTTGTGTTTAGCTGCAGCACTTGGGGTTTTGTGGCCTTGATTTGCTGTTTGCTTGGGAACGAGGGGTTATCAGTGTGTGATACTGCTTATGGTAGTGGACAGATGCACCTTTTGGGCACATCTTGTTAATCTCTGAAGTGAAGCAGAAAGTTGATGAAACCAGTCCGCTTCAAACCCCTCCCTCTCCTATTATGCATTACAGAAAAACAGTAGTTACTGCATGTCCCAAAAATAATTGCTGGAGATGTACCTTTGGGCCATGCTTTTTCCCAAGCAGCATTTTAACCCTGGTTTAACCAAATATTATTTGAATAATCCTATTGGCTTCATTTAGCTGAAAAGATTTCTTCCCTCAGTCCCCCCATAAATCATGGGAAAATAATGTGCTTGCAAAACATCTGTAAGTGTTCAGAAAACGAGATGCAAAAGCATGTGAATACTGTTCATACTTGGTGTCTTGGAAGCTAATATCTGTCTGTTCCTTCAGGTGCTTCGCCAGTTTGTAAGACATGAGTCTGACACAGTTACCTCGTTGGTACTTGAAAGATGTAAGTAGCTCTTGAAGTGAAACTTAGCTGTTACTCTTTATGGTTTTATCTGGATTTTAGAATGGCTAAAACATGCCAGGAGAGAAAGAGATAGGAATGGTATCTCCTGAATGCAGTAACTAAAATTGTTTTGTTTCAAATAAACAGACTCATAAGTATCTTCCTGTCTGGTCTTTGTCAAGTCAAGCATCCCTTAAGGGAGAAAACAGCCCTGACAATGGAGTACAACCTGTGAAAGGCAGGTAGTCCTGCTCTATTAATGACAGTGAACTGGGTGGGCTAATACCTGCCATTAGATGTCTCACGTGCTTGTTTCTCAGGCTCTCATGTGCCTGGGGTGCTTGTTTGGGTGCTGTTGCCCCAGCATGGCTTGCTCCAGATGTACACTTCAGACTTTACTATTCAGTTCACATGCTCATTGTGCAAGAGCGATGCTTCCCTGACCTCCTCCAGTTATTCTTCAACAAGCAGAAGGAATACATTGTGTCCACCTAGTCCTGATACCTGTGTAAAAACTAGTGAGCCTCTTATTCAGAGGGTTATAATAACACAATTTTGTTATTTTAAAGGTATTGGTTTAGTGACAAAACAATGCAATGCTACGGTTTTATCATAACAAAAAAAAATAAGTGAAGGTAAGTAAATGCAAAATAGTCTCAAATGACATATGGAGGTGTCTATGAAAAAGATGATAAAGGAACAGAAAAAACAAGCTTTAGCTTTCTGTATGAGCCTATTCAGCAGTGATAATGATACTGCAGACACAGTCAACCACCTGCAGGGCCTGAATAAGCCAAAAATCAAAAGAGCTTGAAAAATGGTTAGAAGGTGCAGAAAGTCATTTTTCTGGCCCTTGACAAAAGCTGCTAACTTATGTCATGATTAGAAAATCATAATTTACCTGTATAGACCTCTTTGGATACCTTCATCTTCTCCTAGTACTGAAGGGGAAATAATGATTATTAGCTTGTTTGGATTTGCCCAGTACTACTTGGTGCATCTCGCTCTCTTGCATTTCAGCCATGAATCGTGTTCAGTTACTTGGTCGGGTTGGACAGGACCCTATCATGAGACAAGTGGATGGAAAAAATCCCGTTACCATATTTTCTCTTGCAACCAACGAGATGTGGCGAACTGGGGAAAGTGAGACAAACCAGGGAGGTGAGTCTGCAATGAGCAACACGCTTCTGCCATGTTCCGAGGTCATGTTTGCGTGTTCAGTAGCACCACGCTTTGTCTTCAGGCTGCCATGTAAATCTCTCAGGTGCAGGGAAGTTCTTTTGAGGTCAGCAGAGATGCTGGTGCATTTGTGTGTCTCGTACTGATCCCCAGCAACGCGTACTGAGTAAAGATCTCATGTTGACCTTCCTCTGGAGGGAAGTGTGTTGCATCAGCAGTTTTTCACTGTTGGGGTTGACAGAGGTGTAGCAGTTTCCATACTCTTATTTGTATTCTAAGAGGGGGGGAAAAAAGAATTATACATTTTCTCTTTGATTCTTCCATCAGTCAGCATCTACAGATGTCTCTTTTTTCTCTAACTTTTGTTCAATGCGGAGTGTGTGAGGGGAAAAATAAAATTCTTGTAGCATGAGCACTGGCTTCCAGGAAATCTGATCTCTTGGTTTGAGCTGTGCTTCTGCACGATACTTTCTTTTGGACGTAGATGAGTGTCCAAAAGAAAAAAACATTGTAAAAACATAGTAAAACATTGAGTTTTACTATGGAGTGGGAGAGTGAGTGCTAGTGTACTTCCCTTTTCACATCACTTTTCATAATTTGAGAACGCCAACATGAAACTAATTTCTGAGGCTTGCATCAAAAAGAGGATTGGGCATCCAACTTTGTTATTTTTATGTAACTTAGGTGATATCAGTCAGAAGACGACATGGCACAGGATCTCTGTCTTCAGACCGGGCCTCAGGGATGTTACGTATCAGTATGTGAGGAAGGGGTAAGTGACTAATAAATGTGACTGAGGATTTAATGCCTTAATATTTGATTGATGTAATAATTGTGGTTACCAGGAGCTATAGTAAGATAGAAGTTCCATAAAATAAGTTAGCAGACCTGCTACAAACAACTGAGGCAAAAGCCTGTGTGTTCAGAATCAGATATAGAGGAGAAAGCAGCAGTACAGTTCTCTGATCAGAACCAAATTCTTGATTTTTTTCAGTTCTCGAATCTATGTTGAAGGGAAGATAGACTATGGTGAATATACAGATAAAAACAATGTGAGGCGGCAGGCCACAACAATTATAGCAGGTAAGGATCAACATACCAAAGCCTGCCTTGCCCTTTTAAAATGTAGAGGGGGTGGAGGACCTTTGAAATAGAGCTTGCTTTGTCTTCATCCTCAGAATTCACACTTGGGGATTTTGAGAAAATGAATACACTAGATGTCCTCTGGCACTGCTTGTGAGGACACAGAAAATGAGAGCGTATAGTTGCATGCTGTTGCACAGTTTGGTCACACAAACGAGTTGGTGCAGCAGGTAGATAACTGTGTGTTTTAAGAACACTGGTATGTAGTACTGCAGGTCAGGCAGATTCCTTTTCAAAGCAAAGCAGAGTTTGTTTAGTAGCTTTGTCTTGGTTTGGCAAGGAATTTTTTTCTTCCTCTTTAAGACTGAAGGCTTCACCAACTTTAAAGACTCTGTTTGTGAAAGATGTTTTATGTGGGGATAACTTGATGGAGAATTTAGAAAGACCTCAGTCTAGTAGCCAGTAGTGGTAAGAAGAGCACAGAATGGATAGGAAGTAACTTGTCCCCTGGGTAGACACAATGAAGAAAACTGCAAAACTCAACTTTCTCCTTGAGCCTTTAAATAGCATGAAGATCCTTCATCTTTACTGTGGGTAGAGACACTATCTTGTGGCCTTTGAGGGAGAGCTAAAATAATTGGATAGTAGAGTGAACATTTCTGTTACTGACAAGTGTATCTAAAAAAAATGGGCCAGAGAAGGAAAAAAAAAACAACCACAATTCTGGATGTCTCTGCTGTGTGGCCTCTTTAAAACAGTAGTAATCAAACTTTCACATGAGCAATTCAGCTAGCAGTGCTGTAGGTTGCTGTTTATAAATAGCTGAAGGGGAGAAGCAAGTCTTTTTTGAATTAGTAGTTGTCCTAATGGTTTCTTCTTCGTATTCAGTATTGCTAGTGTTAAGATGCTTTAGAAATTACTGAGGCTTGATGAAATACAAGCTTCCTATAGTCCCATAGGCTGATGACATGATAGTGCATGTAGGAGATCACAAAATAAAAAGGAAATAAGCTGTAACTGATAGAGATCATAGTCAAAGAATTAAACCATTATTTTAAAATTATTCTGGTATCTTGGACTCTTCATCAGATTTTCATCAGGTTTAGCACACTTGCTTTGTATCATACGTGGTTGCCTTGAATTGTCAGCTTTCTGGGGAGATAGAGCAAGAACCCTGTATTGGACGCTGTTTTATTTTATGAACTATTCTGTTCCGAAACACATGTCTTTGCAGCTTATTTTAACACAAATAGGTTGTCTTTGGGGATGTACAGGCTTGCAACAGGGCAAAAGAATCCTGAAGATTAAATTTGCTTTATTTCTTTGCAGATAATGTAATTTTTCTGAGTGATGGTTCTACAAAAGACAGGGTGTGAGGTCATTAGTGCTTGGACCCAGGCCATTTCATTCCTTTTGTTTTCCAGTGCTTCATATTTCTGTAATCATGTATATTGCTGTAGTTTCTTTAAAAAATAAATAAAATGTTGGATACCTATGGGGTATCTGTGTGGGTTTTGTTTTGTTTTACTGTGTGCTTTCTCTCTGTTCATCATAATTTGGATTTCTTTCTTTTTTGTTTTTAAGAGAAGAGGTAACAGCTATATTAATTCTTAAGCTAATGGATATTTAAATGGGAGTCACCCTTTGTGTCTTCAGCCATTTTCAAACCTTATATCCTTGGCTGCCTTAAAAGTCGCTCTTCTGTCTTGTGAGGCCTGACAGGCTAGTCACCTTTCACTGTTAATACCCCTTTTCTGTTCTACAGGTGTCATTCTGTATTTTTCCTTAACTAAGTCAATTAGACGGTGAGTTTATAGCAGAGTCATTGGCCTCAGCTGATGCTCAGTTTGAAGTTTCTTTGTCACAGACCTGGAGAAGGCCTTCTGTGCCTTTGAGTCTGCCTCTCCACTGATCATAATATTTGATCAAATCGGATGTTATCTTTCACCAGACCGTGTTTTGATCATGTGCTTAGGTCTTTGTTATTATGGCATTTGACACGTGATGACCCTGTGATGACATCAACATTCTCCCCGCAGTACCGTGTTAGGGTGCTATGGCCATCGCTTGCCATCAGGAGGAGCCAGAGGAATGGCTGCCTTGGCTGGTCCTGTCGAGAGGCCTGCGGTAATGTGCGGAAAACACTTCTGGTCCAGGATTCTCAATGTCGGAGTGGCATTTATTTTGCTTTACCTTTGTTTTATTGTCAGAAAGACTGAGAATTATTAGTACTGTTAGTAAAAAATTGCACAAAATTGTTTCATTCTATTACATGGAGAAGTGGTGAAATTCCTTCTGTAATACAGCGTGATGTAAACAGGGAAAGAAAAGCGTTAGAGGTGACAATCTCCTGCCTTCAGAGCTAGTGGGATTTTGTATCTCATGTCTCTCTGAGCCCAGTACAGAGCATGCTTATTTATAGTTTTTGCAGCTCTTCCTTCTACAGAATGATGATCGTGTTCATGCTCCTCTCTGTAAGCATTGTCAGTACCACCAAAAGCTTAACATTCTTTCAGTTCAGCATTTATTTCTGGTCAAAGTTAATGCTTTAACTAGTATCCTAGCCTCTGCCACTGGCATGCCAAGATATTAGATGTACTAGAAATGCTGAGCTACTTAAATGGGTTGGTATCCACAGAAGATTGTGGTATCTTTTTAAATAGTAAGTTCTGGCTTTAATTCCCATAACTATTTCTTGTTCAGTCTAAGCCTGTTGTGCTGCTGGAAGAAGTTGTGACAGTGCACTTCTGCAGTAGTTATCCAAATACAGTTTGTGTTTGGTTTTTCCTGTTAGCTGGAAGCTGGGATTTGTCTTAAGCTTTCTTTAGATCTGTGAGGCCTCAAGTGAACATGCTAACTAAGCCTCTGTTCATTTAGTGGTTACCTCCTTCTTTGCACTCTGCTGCGGTGGTGGAGCTCAACACTGCTTACAACAGTGTCTGTTTTGGAGCCTGGGAACTGGCTTTCTACTCTGAACTCAGAGGTGGTAGCAATGGTTACTTTCACTGCTGCACTTGGAATGGCCAGGACTGCCAGAACTCCTCTCAGCAACCACTGAATGGCTCGTGCTAATCTCTTCCCCTGGCTCAGGATGGGGACAGAGCTGAGCTAGCACAACATATAGGATTAGGTGCCAAGCAAGAAAAATATTTGCTCAAGAACTTCAACTTTGCTTGCTTTTCTGGTTCTGTTTAAAGTTGCTAGTACACTTTTGAAGATTGACGTGCTACACAGACAACGCATACCTACTTTGAGAACACACCGAGAAGCAGTGCAGTGTCTTGAGTGTTCATCACAATTTTACATTAGGGCAGATTTTCACAAATGATTCCGCAGGAGCAATATAGCAGAAATTATAGCAAAAATTACCAGTGGCAAAGGTGTGTTGTACACTCGCCTCTTACATCTGCTTTGCTGCTATGGGGCAAAGTTAATCTAGAACTAAGTAATTTTGGTTATGAGAAAACCAGATGTGATATCAGCAGTCCTATAGCATCTGGGTTGGGGTTTTTTAATGGCTAGCTACTTGTTCTGTGAGGAAACGTTAGAGAATGGAAGTGGTATCTGCTGAGTTAAATACAGCGATACGTTGTTTGTAACTAGGCAATGAGTATTCTTCCATGCTGTCCCCTGGTAAATGGCATTCAGCTTTGGCTTGTCCATATTAACCTCTTGTGTAAAGTGAATTAGGCAAACCCTGATTACTTGCATCAGCTGGGACATTTAGAAGTGTTTGACCTTAACAAGGAATTTATTTCATGTATTTAGGGAGATAGATTGGAAGAGATTAAAAAAAGAGAGATTATTTATTTTTAAAACTAGAGAGCATTTTAACAGATAGTTGGGGCATTTCTCCACAGCCCTGAGAGAGCTATTGTGGTCTGCAACACAGCTGAGTTATTTCTGTCTGGTGTAAGGTGTAGGAAACCTTCTCCTGTGCTTGTTTCTATGGCTGTAGTGCGCTGGTTTGAGGAAGACACCATGGGCACTGTGCCTGTGTCACACAGCGAAGAACATTTTCAATTGAAGTGTAACCTGTATTTGGCACCACAGACACAATTCCTCCACCCCCACATAAAGCGGAGGGTAATGAGAGTGCTCTTTCAGTGAAGGAGGACTTGTTTTCTTTGGCTAAAGCATCTTCTCTTCTGTTTCGCGACTCATAGTTTCTGCAGACAGAGTAACAGGATGGATTAAGAATGATGGCTTGGACTGGTATAGAATTACTAGAGCTTTTTACCAGCAAGTACCTGTCTTGGGTTCTAACCTAGCCAAAAGACTTGCATCGTGGTGACTGCATGGTGCCCTGCGTGAAGGGGGTGGGTGTTTGAGCCCTGTCCCAGCTCTTCTGTGAAGATCCGCAGTGCCTGTGAGAGCCTGCTGAAAGCCCATGCAGAGAGGCCATGAATTGCAAAGTCAAGAAAGCTGAATTAGTGCTTTGAGAAGTCCCTGGTTACAAGAGATAAAGAGAACCTGTGTTTCTGTCAGTGTACCAATTATGTGGTTTTCGTAGTAGGCTGTCTCCAGTACTGACAATCCCACTTTCACAAGTATTCATGTCAGAAGAGGAATATAATGCCAGGATTGTGGGAAGAGAACTTCACTATTTTCAAGCACACCTTCTATTTTTAAGTCTGAAATTTCTGTGGTGGAAGCCTTTTTGACAAGTAGTTGAGCATGTTTGTATGTACAAACTATGACTTGGTGGCTGTTTTATCTTGATGATAGTGAGTTCCTCCACACAGCAGTGTGATTTAGATCTCATTTACACAAGAAATTTGCTTTGTGAGTGCATACCAGGTGGTGGATAGTGCAAATAATGTGTTTGCACATGACACACAAAGAAATCAACTTTCATGGGGTTTCTACGGAGACATCCTCTTGTGAGAAATCTATGTTGATGTGCATGTGACATTCTTTCTTCTTGTTGCTTTATGTCCCAGATAAAAAATTCAGCTTGTTAACATACTTGGTGATTTCAGAACAATCTCCAGAAACTACTGTGATTAGAAATTGATCGCTTATCATTCTTTGTGTTCTTAGTCCTGAAGTTTGTGCCCAGTACTCTTTAAGATGTGCTAAGTTTGTTGAAGAAACCTTCTCTAAGTATGGCCATTTTCTGTGGCTTTCAAGGGATTTTTCATTTGTAGCTGGTCAAAACCCTAGCAATTGTTATGCTGTAGGCTCTGTTGCTATTTGTTCTTTTCTTGCTGGTTGACTTTTCAAACTTATTTGAACAGAATGGCTGTAGAAAACGGATGGTTATCTTGATCCTGGTTGTCACAAGTCAAAAAAATGTCACCTGTAAATATTTAATGAGCCTTTGTGCAACTGACCTGATCAAGAACTTGAGTAACGATGCGGTTGCAGGATTTGCGGCTTCTGTAACCCCGGATCTGCAAGGAAAAGAGAGCACCTTTCCTGTGCCAGGCTTTCTGTGACTTATTAGGCTTGTATTATTACTACCCTTTTTCTTTGATATATAAAGTAAATGGTGGGGGTTTTTTGGAGCTCTGCCTTAGCAGCCACTTCTTTCTTAGCTAGTTTGTTTTTCTGTGGGGGTTTTCTGTGTTTTTTCTGCATGGGCTTTCTTCTCCTTGCAGAGAGGCTACAGAATGCTCAGTTAAAGCTGAGCTCTCCTCTCCCCTCAGCTATATCTCTGCAGACAATAAACCCCCACCTTTTTATCTTCCTGTAGACTGCTGGTCAATTTTTGCACTGCCCTCTGTGCTGGAGAGTGAGTTCAACCCCAGTTCAGAAGTCTGTGGTAAGGAAATGGTCTTACACAAAAGGACAAATCAGAATGCTCGCAGAATTAGATGAGTTGGAACTTAAAAATACTGCTAAAGCTGCTTTAAGAGGAAAGTTATGAAACACGGAAAACCAGCCTTGATTTTCAGCATGCTACTAACTCTTGAAATACACTATTTAAAATCCTCCAAGCAATATGGGAAAAAGGAGGATAGTTGTGTCTGTATAAAGTTCTTGCTGGTTTTGTGATGCTTTCCACAGTGCCTGATTTCTGGTGTAGTGTTAGTTTGTGAGCAGCAATGCATGACACGTTAGACTGCTATCTTGTGTTTTATCAGAACACTAAATAATTAATATTCTCTGGAAAGGATTAATTTCCTCCACCTTTGTCTCTTCCTTCTTGGTGCCCTGTGTGTGCTGCCAGTTTTTAGCAGAAACTTGCTAATACATATTTCTTTTCCAAAGAAGGGCTGGTGCTGCAGCACAAAACTTCAGTGTAGTCTGTAGGCTGTTAGTTGCCACCATACAGGGCGAATTGGTCATACTTCCTTACAAAGTCTCAGGCAATTGTTTGAGGAAAGTTGGAGCTCACAAGTGAGATGTAGCCTTGCACACTAATTTTAATAATCTGGCAGGAACTGGGCAGGATGCAGAGTTGCCAGTGTTTAGTCACTGGTTACCAATATCATGTTTTACTTCAGTGAATAGCCCCAGAAATGGATAGTCTCTGTGCATCAAAATATT